CTCTTCTCTTCTCTTCTCTTCGCTTCGCTTCGCTTCGCTTCGCTTCGCTTCGCTTCGCTTCTCCCCTCCCCTCCCCTCCCCTCCCCTCCTTTTTTCTTTTAAAGGACAAAAACAAGTGCCTCCTTCCTACAAAAATAACCTTATTTCATTTCCAGTTTATTTCATTTCCATTTTACTTCATTTTTCTTTTCCTTTCAGTTTTTCAGCTTGCCTCTCCATCTCCTGAGGCTGAGTAAGTTGCCAACAAGGGTGTCCTTGGGGTATGGTCAGAAAAGGCAAGAGGGTGGCTACAATGGTGTGATCGCACCTTGAAAAGGATGGAGCTTCAACTGCACCACCAAGGCCTCCATCTTGCCTTTTTTGACCACCCCTGATGGATACCCCAGTGTAGTTCTATGGAAATTGCTCCGCCAGCCCGTCGGCACCCCTCACGTCTCTCTCTCCCTCCTCTCGCCTTCCAGTTCGCCAGTACGCGGACATCTGCCTCTTCAACACAGCGCAGTACAAGTGCCCGGTGGCGGTGGAGGAAGCCGAGTGAGTACCCAGCCGGAGGGCACGGCCGCCGCCTTGCCCTTGGCGCTCCGGCTCCTGGGAGCTTCCCGTCTCAGCTCCTTCGGGGCTGGGGGCGGCGGGGCCACAATGCTCGCTAAGGGATTTTGCACGTGTGACCAGCTGGCCTTATAATTCAAATAAAAGCATAGGAATTATTATTGCTTTGTGATACGGTATACACTCGTCTGTAAGCCCATCCGCAGATAAGCCGACCCCCACATTTTTAACCCAAATACCGTGAAAAATGCGCCACCCGTGGATAAGCCGACCCTCAAACTTTTTCATGCCATTTTGGTTAAAAATTTGAGGGTCTGCTTATCCGCGGATGGGCTTATCTGTGAGTCTATACGGGATATACAGGTACCTTTAAAAAGTATTATTGTATAGAGTCACGGATAAGCCCATCCGCGGATAAGCAGACCCTCAAATTTTGGAGTGTATTTTGACGCCTAACATTCTCAGCTTATTCGCGAGTCTATTCAATAGTCTCAAAGGAGATTCAGGGTCACCCCTGCTCAGAGAAAACTTCATTTTTCAGATGGCCCTTTAGTTCTGCCCCCAAAATGAGTGATTTTGAGAGTCAAGGGGGTGTTCAGATTTGATGAAAGGAAGTGCTGAACTGGAGGGCCACCAGCTGGTGCTCAGCCTCAGACTTTTCCCTTTACTTTTGGATTTGCGAGGCTGACAAAGACCTGAGAGGGCTGCCGAGGGTCCAGATGTGCCCTGTGTTGGCATGGAAAGAATTTGGGGAAAGGAAGGAACGAGAAACTGCCAGCCAAGCAAAGAAATGAGCCAGAATAGGCTCCTATGACATCACGTGTGTGATGATGTCATTGGGCGGAGCAAATAATGTGAGTTATGTCATTTGCATCCTTTGCATGATGATGTCATTGCACACATGATGTCACTCGTCCTCCCTCCCAATGCACATCGTGTGGTAGAATCTATCAGGGTTTGTTTCTCTCAGTTTCTCATTTTTCCAATGTCTCACGTGCTGTTTCTGCAACAATTTGCATAAAATTTTGCAGGCATTGTCTGTTCCTTTCCACTATATGCATTTTTCTCCATAAGGTTGCCTAATATTTTGTTCTGCAGGCATTTTCCTCTAAAATGGGGCACCGCGTTTGCTTCTTTCTCTGATATATGCATATTTATGCTAACAAACACATTTTTTTTTTAATTGGAAACTTGCATTGCAAAACTCTGGAGAAAACAAAGCAAAGCTGTGGTTTGGTTCGAGTATCCTTTTAGGAAGTGCAAATTAAAATCTGAACTGAGCCCATTTCTCCCCCCGCCGTATACACTCCCTAACCCCCACCCCAGAAGCTACAAAAAATGCTCTAGTTCTAAGACGACTTCCAGTGTTAGTTAGTTAGTTAGTTAGTTATGGGGTTAGGGTTAGTTGTGGGGCCGAGGGGCAAGCCACTGAAGCGTCTTGAGTTTTGCTGCTCGCCTAGACAGAGCTGTACAAAACCTGAGCGAGCAGATGTACAGTCATCGCCCAACTGGGCAAAACGTAAACGTTTTATCCGGCTTTATTTTATTCCTGGGTGGAAATAGAGCTGCAGGGGACAGAGGCAGTAAACCTTTATTATTAAACGATGCCCCGATGTTTTAGCATTTTGCCTCGTCTTCTTTGCGACCTCTCTGCAGCGATGTGGTGGCCCCGAGCTCGACCTTCTGCAAGGTCTACACTTTGACCCCCTTCCTTGCCAACAACCGGGAAAAACGTGGACTCGCTCTGGATGGGAAACTGAAGCACGAAGACACCAACCTGGCTTCCAGCACCCTGTGAGTGTGTCTCCCCCTCGGGCGGTTGAATCCAGCAGATGTGCACAGATGCGCCCAGTCCTCAAAAAGGGGCCATCGGGCAAACGGGTGTGGCTTTCCCCGGGTTTGTGTAGAGGCAACCGGCCGTTCGGCTTACAGGAACGCTCGCCCCCGCCTTCCTGTCCTTGCACGGCCTGTAATCAGAATAAAATCAATTGCAGGGAAATGAGATGAAAGCAATTAAGAGGGCAGCAACATGGAAGAAATCCATCGGGCAGCGGAGATCAAAACAGGGCGCGGGAACTCAAAGCAGAGTTCCCTTGGAAAAGCAGCATTCGTGTGCCCTGATCAAAAGCTGGGGAGAGAAAGGAGTTGAAGGGCTTTCCTGGGGCAAGGAGTTCCAGAGGTCTACGAAGGGAAAAACGCACTTGGGAACGAACGCAGCCCACTGGCTGTCTGCGCTCACAAAAATTCAGAAAAGCCCCTTCTTCTGCAGCGACTCTGGGCTTTAATCTCCTGTCGCTCAGTCGAAATTGCTTCGGGTTTTGGAATTAAACACTACAGCCGTTTATTAATCGCTAACTCTATCAGTATGGCCCATCGCTATTTTGCTTCAGTTCCCGGAGGCGGTCTTGTGTTTTATTTAAGGCTGTCAATCGATCTGTGGGAGGCTTAATTGATCAATCCTCTTCGAAAGGTCCTGCAAAAAAAAAAAAGGAAATAAAATGCATATCTTGGAGTGGAGTTGGAGCTTGGAGTTCAGCGGAATTTCCTTTGTTCGTAAACCAAAGGATGGCTAAACTCCACACAACACCTTCGGCGGATTACCCATTTTATGGGTTTGCTGATACAGCAAAGGATAGACCAGCCAAAGGGGCTTTAACCAAGGTTAACTTAACCCGGTTTTACATGTTGTGTGAACGCCGCCGTGGGGGCCTTTCACTGCCCCGATTCAGCGTGTTGGAGGGACCCAGCCTCTGTGGGGGCTTTGAAAGGTTGATAAGCAATAAAAATATAGATCTCTGCCCCCCGAGATCTTCCAGGAATCCCAGCTGAGGAAAAGAGAAAGGATGAAAGCAGGAGAGGAGTTCTGGTGCTTCACCGATTCTTTTCACTGGCACATGAGGCTCGACTCTTTTCTCCCAATGCCCAGGTTGAGAGACGGGGCCAACAAGGAGGTTTTGGGCATTATCGTCTCCTACAAGGTGAAAGTGAAGCTGGTGGTGTCTCGAGGAGGGTAAGTAGAGGGCTCGCCTGGTGTCTTCTCCTGGACCAGGACCTCTCTGGCCTGGAGGAGAAGACCTTGGATCTCAGCAGATGTCCTGTGTGTGTTTCTCTGGGAGTCTCCCGCTCAGCTCGGTGAGGGTGCGGCTCTGGGGCCGCGTGGGCCGGTGGTCTCCTGTGGCAGCCCTCTTGGTTGCCCATCTTAGTCACGCCACTTGCCGAGGCCTGCTAGCCTGCCCGCTCCTGCAGTAGCACAACAGTTCCCCAACCTGGCGCCCACCAACACTGGGTTGGGTTCAGCTGCGACTCCAAGCTAGCTGAGAATTGGGGAAGTGCCGCTCAGCCAACCCAGGAGGACCTCGGGCTGGGGAAAGGCTGCAGCAGCGACAGGCGTCGGGCCTGGTTGCTCTGGGAGTGGCGAGTGGATCAGCTGCTTTCAGAGCCATGGAGATGAATGGGCAAGATGGCACCAAAAGGGAAGAAAACCCCTCTGCTGCCAGCCAGCGGGGGTGCCCGAAGTCTTGCAGCCCAGACTGGGCAGCTGTTGGGCTGAGCCTCATGACCAGCTTGCCCCGGGGTGGCCAAGGGCCAGGGACCATTTTTCCAGGGCTGGAGCACACGAGGTCGTCCTCTCCCCCCACAGGAACGTTTTCTGACTTGGTGGCTCAAGCGGGGCGATCCCGTTTGCCTGCTGGACTTCATTTCATTGTAGGCAAACTCCTCTACCCCGCCCCCGGTCAGGAGTCACTGACCTCCCCCACCAACCAACCAACCAACCAACCAACCAACCAACCAACCAACCAACCACCCTGCCTCCCTCCCTCCCTCCTTTCTTCCTTCTTTCTTCCTTCTTCCTTCTTCCTTCTTTCCTTTCTTTTTTCTTTCTCTTTCTCTTTCCCATTCCCTTTCCTCTTTGTCTTTTGTCTTTCTCTTTCCCCTTCCCCTTTCCCTTTCTCTTCCCTTTCCCTCTTCCTTTTCTCTTCCCCTTCCCCTTTCTCTCCCCTTCCCCTTCCTCTTCCCCTTCCCCTTTCCCTCTTTCTCTTTCCCTCTTTCCCTCTCCTTTTCCCCTTCCCCTCTCCTCTCTTTCTGGGAAGGGAGATGCAACAGGGGATCCAGCAGCCAGGGACCCTTGGGAGACCGACGATCAGGCTGTCCTGGGGCCAGAGTGGGCCAAGGGGGGGATCCAGAGGGGTTTTCTGAGCTGGCCCCCTTCCCGTCGCCTTGCGCACGGGAGACCAGAGCTTCAGGCCGGCGGTGTCCTTTGCGCGGGCGGCCTGTAACGGATCCTCTCCTCTCCTCTCCTCCATAACGCCAGCTTGCTGGGAGACCTTGCCTCCAGGTAACGCCTTTCAGACTCTGCTTGCTGTGAGCGAATGCGGTGCGACCTCCCTCTGCCTCTTTCCATGGGGAAAGTCAGAAAAGTCAAGATGGTGCCTGGCTCATGCAACTGAAGCCATTCCCCTTTTTTACACGCAAGGGGTGCGTCTGCAATCGTGGGCACGGGTACCATCTTGACTTTTCTGACCCCCTCCGTGGAAGTCCCTGCCCTTGCATGCCGACTCCTGATCCCACTCCTTGCTTGCCCATTGCCATCCTTTTTTGCCATTTTGTTTGCCACTCAGGCCCTTCCAGCCATTTCACTCTTATTTACCGATTTCATCTGCTGCTCTCTTCCCGAACCCCCAGATGCCCCGTCCTGCCACATCCGCTCCTAAGAGAGGCATCCCCCTCATCTTGCCATTTGGTTTTCTACCCAACTTGCTCACAGGCTTCCCTGAACCGGGAGACTGGGTGGGATGGCCCTAGTTTTGACAATTCAGGGAGGGGACGATGATGATGACGATGCCTGCAAGCCAGAGCTGGTGGGGCCACAAAACAGACAAAGTCATAGGAAAGGAAGAAGCTCGAGCGCTCTGGGACTTTAGAATCCAGACAGACGAGCAAATGCCACACGACACCCCAGACTTAACAGTTGTGGATGAGAAAGACAATACAGTCCGGAGAGTGGACATTGCAATACCTGGAGACAGCAGAAGAGAAGAGAAAGAGCTTGAGAGAACCACACAATATAAAGATCTGCAAATGGAAGTAGAACGACTGTGGCAACAGAAAGCAAAGATAGCCCCAATAGTTATAGGCGCCTTGGGTGCCATCCCAAACATCTGGAGCACCCCCTGAAGACCCTCGGCGTTGACACAATCGCCAT